CCTGTGGAATCGATGATGACAATATATTACTTGCAGTATACAGGTCTTTTTAGCACGTTTGTCCCCGTCGACACATTTATGCAAATGGTTGCTTAATTATATTATAGATATCCAATTATTAAAATGTGTCATAATATTTTTTGGTTTACTAACCTGCAATAAAAATAAAATAAAATAAATTTGTTTTTTTTGTTGAATTATTAATTTCCATTAAGTGATCAAATATGTGTATATGGATATTTTAAACTTTTAAAGTAGGTATATGGTTCTTACTTCTTATATTATATAGATGGTGATTGTACACGAGAACATTTTTTATGGTATCTAGTGGGACAAAGTTTATCCAGGCGATCAAGCAACGTATGTTAGAAAATATTTATTAATATCTACGAATCAAAACTACTGTAGAACTTGAGTAGTTTTTACGCATATATGTGCACACTGAACGCGTTTGTATGTTATAAAGCTTCCTGTTTCAGCTGTTTGAAGGCAGGTCATCGAAAATCATAATTCATATAATATTATATCCTATGCACGTTCTATATTTTATTATAAAAGTACCTACCTTGTACATTGTATATTCAAATCGTATGCGATCCGCGTCAATTTTGTAAGTAGACTTAGTAGGTAGTCACTAAATTTATATTAAATCAAAGTTTGTTTATGAAATAATTATAAGTATATAGGTAGTACGAGAGTTATACCGCAAGTTAGATAAATAATGATTGATATTAAATTGTGATTAGTGATTGGTATTTAGGGAATTCTTGCATTTTTTAGAGCATTTTTGTGTGTTATTTAGGCTATCACTCATCAAAACCCTATATCTTGTTATAACTGATAATAAATGTATAATAGGTATGTTCAATAATTATAAACAAAAAAATTCAGTTTTAATTTCTATTTTTTGTACTTTAAAATGCTACATTTTTTGGTTTCTATAAACATATGTTTTGGACACCTTAATATATTTTTCCCTTTGTGTCCACCTGCCTGCGTTCGTTACCTGTAGTTCATAGTTATGATTGTTGATATTAATAGATATTTATTAATTGTCCGGAGTAATAACTGTACATACGTTGTGTATATAATACGAATTATATTATATATACTGTGTTGTATTGAAACATGTTCAGAAACTGCAGGGAATTATTAGCACGCACTTAGAGTGAGCTTCCCTCACTCGTTTGGTTGAATTTTAGGTACACCGATAAATATATAATTTAATCATAATAATATAATTCTAAATAATTGGAAAATGTAAGACCGTACATCTTTGAGATCACCGATATAGGCATTAATGGCGACATACACGAAGTTAACGTCGCATGACCGTCGGTACACTAAATAAATGAGTTTGATAACTGTTTGTGTAACCCGTACTATTATTAACAGGTGATAATTGAGTCCAACATCTCGGTATACAATTAATCGTAAGAAATGGTAAAAAATAAAAAATTCGTTCTCAGTGACACACATTTTCTCCGTTGCCGGATTATCAAACACTTCCGGCTAAAACTCTAAAAGTCCAATCATCGATTTCCATCGCAGTGAGTTACGAAATGTTAAACATTATTATAGTGCCGCCAAGTGACTCGTAACTCCAGTCGCAAGATAAAAATGTGACGAACCGCAAAGGAAAACAATCATCGAGGGTGAACCGGCGAAGGGCGATACGCCACCACCACCGCCTCCACTCTGTATACGGATATATATATATATACTATGCACCTATATAGGTACTATAATACTTGAGCTAAACGAACGATCGGCGGGGAGTACGTGACGCGGCACTCTGTATATAGGTGCAGCATAATATTATACACGTAATGTATATATAATACGACGCTCGCCGCAGCTGCAGCCACAATAATAAGTGCATATGCGTAATAAATTATTTGTAGGGCCCGCTCGGAGATCGTACAGACCATGAAAATGATTATATGCATCTAAACATTTCATACTATAATATAGGTCTGATCCGTGCAGTGCAGTGGTAGAAACGCGGTGAATTAATAAAACCGGCGAAAACTGAAAATTATGTTACACGGACGCCATAATATCTGTTGTCATTATTCTTACGCATAATATTATTATTAATATAACAATATTATAATTTCTTTGTGTCGATTTCCTGCATGTCGCGCGCGCGCGTAGAAAGAGTTAATTACACGGTTTGTGTGTACAATATTATTATATTGTACGGTCGCGCGAGCGATAAAGACAAAAACAAAAGGGTGCATTATAATAATAAAATATAATATTATTATATACACGAAGGTACCTACCTGTACGCGCACACGCGAGACGCGCTCAGTGCCAGCGGACCATTGTTTTTCGTCGTCCTCCTCGCCGCCACGCGCGCGCCAACACCGCATTGTTGTCGCTCACCGGAATACCGTCTGGGCCGTACCCAAGGTCGATCGCGGTAAACTTTTATCGTGTTGATACTTGATTTTACAAGCTATAACGATATTAATGGCGGTATATAGTTGATGTGGCGGAGGCGAAGACACCGTAATAATATTGAATTCATACATTTAATACATAGGTGGGTAGGTATAGGTACCTATATTACCTACGCAGTTCGCTTTATCATAATATCACAGCTGATATAATAATATCCGTTGAAATGGATTTTGGACACCTGCAACGATATTGAATACATATAATGATATCAAGGATACGGAATTCCTATCTTCAGTTTGTCCACTAAACGTACTATATTAATATGCTTTTTGACCAGCGACATAATACAACGGAGAGAGAAACGAAGGTTCTCGCTAGCGCCGAAGCTTCTGACCGAGAAAGAAACTTATATCATAATATTATTTTAAACAAGAGTGAAAACGGGTACGATGATGCGTTGCAGCGGTTTACAATGGTAGACATCAGTCATGTGTTGGCCGATCCACAAGTTTAATATCAATATGAATCTCTGTCCGCCTGTGTCTGATCGGTGGCATATGTCAACAAAAAACCTGGGGGAAAAGCCACCTTCAAATTGCGCCTGTGTTTCCGATCTCGTACATGATATGATATACTTTTTCTCTCTTTATTCGTTAAGCATCAACTACACAGGTTATTAGCTTAATATAATATTATATAGTTCATTAGGTGTAACTTAATGGAGCTGTCGTGTCCACGATTATATATCGACGATACCATACTGGCCGTGGATACTAAGCACTCGTCATTTTAACTGCGACGATAATAAAATATTTTGTAATTTATATTATGTACCACGCTCGTCGCACCTGCTTGTATTATTGAAATCGCGGTTTCGAGAAAAAGGACAGCGTAGTCTTCGCTCGCGGTGTCACGGATGCAGGTGTACTAAGTACTTAATTCATGAGACACCAATATCTATTTATTCTTAAAAATGTACTTATATATTATTGAATTGATTAATCGGAATGTATAGATCCTCTGCAATGAGCGTTGACATCTGCTGTAAATTTGATTGAGTTTTATTTTTTGAATCGCATTACAGATAACTATGTCTATATAACTGATTATTGTTTCTAATAAAATCAACAGTTATAATAAACAGCATGTAAAATTGTTAGCTAATAATAATCTAGCAATCAACTTTTTTTTTCGAAGTGTTAGTTGATGGGTATTAAATATTAAAAAAATGCACAGAGTCATTTTATTTTAAGACTACATTATTTCAGAATACTAAATATTAGTTTGCCATATAAGCCGGTATTTAGTTACCTACAAGTACTAAATTTTAGTAAAATAAAAACCAATTTGTTTCAATGGCGGCTTACTTTTTAATTTGGTTTTCTCTATATTGTATACTAATGTGTTCAGATTATTTTTTATTCGGATAATAATTTATATTATTATGCTCGTATTATTACACAGTATAATATGTAATATATGACGTATATTGTATAATAACACCACTGTTTATTATACTCAAACGTACCGTCAGACTCATCATAATAAGTATGATGAACCTACATGTATAATATATATGGTAAAGGAAAAATGAAAAGAAATACTTATTTTAAAACAATAAAGGTTGAAAATATATATAGCGACATTTAGATTATACAATAATATATTATATGACATAGTATATAGGCATGATACACAAGTTAAAAATATTTTCTTTTTCTTTGAGTATACAAAAGAAGAAAAAAAAGACTTTCTAAAATCAATCGACGACGACGATTAAACAAAAAATATCTTTTCATTTATAGTTCATTTATAGTCATGGAAAAACATATATATATTACAGTAGAAATGTGAATAATATACAATAAAGTAGTAATACCTATACATTATATTTTATAGGTCAATAAATAAATGAGCTTGTGTTTTCGTGATTTATGTTTATGTACACGTTACAAGATTACAAAAAAAAAAAAAAAATAATAATAATAATAATACGATTCCTTAAATAATACAATATTTTTTATATTTACAAATGAGCTGTATATAATTTTTAATCTTCATATATTTCATATTTTTCATTTACCTCATATATATATATGTATATATATATGCGCGTGTATATAAATAATATTTTCTATTTCATAAATTATATAAATTATTATATAGTATATATAGAATCTTTTTATCGTAACGAAAACAAAACGATTGGACAAAAAAAGATCTAAATGTAAGAGATACTAACATTAAATAACATTTTTTTTCCATAAATATAAACATTTTAACCAATTTATATTTTATGTGTGTATCCACCGTGCGTCGGAAATGATTTCGCCAGGAGATTTCAATAAACCTACTGTCAGGCACGAATACGTTGTACGGCATTATTTATTTAGCGTGGAAATTATCATATTCTTCCCACGGTCAAAACATTTTTGCTTTTAGTGGTCAATAATATAATATAGGTACCCGCCACAGACCATAGACCTAGTAACTCGAGTTGATAGGTATGTGCTGCTGACTCAAATATGGTGTTTGGAAAATCGGCCTTGGGAATTGGGAATATTTCAAGTAGGTATTGGATATAAATTAAGATTCTGCCGCAAACAGCTCCAAACAACCTGTGAAGTGTAAAGAAAAATCCCGTGTATAGAACGACTGAAGAAATGTAGAATGTCTGAGGTCTGCAGTAGATATATAATGACAATATGGTTATAAAATAGTATCTAGATGTAATGCCTATTTACGGACCATGTAACGCGGTGATCACTTTCTTATTTTTATCCGTTGGATTTTACGGTATTTTTTTTTCATTTATTTTCATTTTATGTCAAGTAACTTATACCTTGGAAAACGGGCGGCTCACGATCTGCAAACGTGCCGTTACAGCTGAGTGAGGCCGTACTCGCCGGCGCCCACCCCGATGGCCAAACCCTGTTGCTGTAGGTGTTGAGACAGGTGCGGTGGCCCGCGGTGGTTCAGACAGTGCTGTAACTGTTGCTGTTGCTGCTGCTGGAGTTGTTGCTGTTGTTGTTGTTGCTGCTGTTGCTGTTGTTGGTGGAGCTGTTGCTGCATGGCGGCGGCGGCGGCTGCGGCAGCCGGATTGTTGTGCCCAGCGACCGACGAGGCCGCGGCGGACGACGACGAAGACGAAGACGTCGACGACGACGGTATTATGGCGGCCATCAGTGACGTCGACCCGGCATCGTTCTGTTGTTGTAACCTCAACTCGGGTTGTTGTTGCGGCGACATGTCGTGCGAATCTATTTTCAACCCGGATGGCGAGCACAGCGGCTGCTGCTGATGGTTGTTATTGTTGTTACTATTGTTGTTGTTGTTGTTGTTGTTGTTTTTGGCCCGGGACTTTTTGCCCGCCGGTTGAGAGTTGCCGTTTTTTCGACGCACATTTTTCGTGTTGGGCAGATGGTTGTCCTTCTTGTACTTCATTCGCCGGTTCTGGAACCATATCTTGATCTGCCGCTCGGACAGCACCAGCGAATGGGCGATCTCGATCCTCCGTCTCCGGGTCAGGTACTTGTTGAAATGAAACTCCTTCTCCAGCTCCAGCACCTGGTACCGGGTGTAAGCGGTCCGTTGTCTCTTCACGTCCACCGGCTGGTAAGCGCCGTTTGCTGAAATCAGAAAAAAAACATAAGTCTTACACACCTTCAGTGACGATCAAAGGTATATACCAGTATGTATACCGGAATCCGAACAACACGTAAATTATATCTTAAACACTTAATAAAAATATCAGTAGTCGATATTGTAGAGGGAGGGGATAGTGCACTCGAATGCATATATAGGTAATTACGTCGCGATGTAGGATCAATTTTCTTATGCCAAACATTTATTGTTTTGTGATGAGTGGTATCGATGGGTATAGTCAAGGGGGATTGGGATGGTAACAATTCGATTCAAACGACTGTTATTATATTATATATAATTTATAGGAATTCACTGTGCCAGAATGTGCCGAATTACAATTGCATACAATTGCATACAATTTCTACAGGACATAAAAGCATAATGTAATTGGCGACAGCCGATAATATTATAATAACGATATAATATATTATTTTAAGCGAGTATGGATGCGATACTGGAGGTTTTAGGTATTAATTATTGCCGTTTGGCCTGAAATTTATTAAGTTTATATGTTGCCATTAGAAAAGTATAATTTTCTTGATAAAATTTTACAAATATGAAATAATAATGCAAAAAATAATATTTGACCTACGCAACTCCCATGACAGATGTATAAAATAAAAAATAAACATTTAATACCTATTCAACTTTATTCAATTGTTTTGACTAATTAAATAGTGTAGTTTATTCTATTTTGTGTGTGTCTGCAAAAATCATTATACAATACGAACACATGTGATTGTTTTTCTCATAAAAAGTTTAAAAATTAAAGTCAAACGCAGAAATATTATGTCCACAACTGTTCACAGAAACTATATTAATCATCAACTATGTTAATTGTTTTACGCATATGATTTTACCTAGTAACTGTGATAGTACAAGATGAGAGAATATGTGTTATATATAATTGAATATATTGGCACATACACACTGTCAATAATTATAATACGCAGACATACACCTAGCTATGCGTGATAATATTATTGCGCGGTGCGGTGTCTTTCTGCGCCCGAACATTTAATTTCGAAATATTTTTCCACATTATTATTATTACAATCATTATTATTATTATTATTGAAATGCCGGAGCCATGTTCGGTCGGTTGGACAAGGGCGTGGTGGTTACGGCGGCGGTGGCGGCGGCGGTCCTTAAATGGGGGAACGTTGCCGGAGCGGTCTGCGCCGCGCCGTACACATAATAATAATAATAATAATAATAATAAAATAATAATAATAATATATGCCGCTGTCTCGGGTGCGTTTTTCGACGTTGCCGGGTCACCCGACGACGAATAGCTGCTTCTGCTGCCGTTATATTATTCTGTCTATGTGTGTATGTGATGCAGTGATGTGATGTGTGTGTGTGTGGATTAATATTATTATTATTACTACCATTATATATACAATATTATACACAATCTAAGTATTACACGAGTGAACGTGTGTGTGTGTGTGTTTGTTGTTCGACATCAACTTTTCTATTACACAAAAAACATACCATACAATATATGTATGTATATATATAAAGGAACGCACTTCAGTGACGACGACGGCCTTGCAGCTCGTTAAGATCGTGTGCTAGTTTGTGCAGTGTGTGTGTGTGTGTGTTTGGAGTGTTGTTGAGCGCAAAACACATCTATTGGCGAGAAGAAAAAAAATTCACATCTATTTATATTATTATTATATTATTTTATCACAGCCTTAGGGGCCGCCGCCGCTGTCACCATAAAATATTGACTGTTGCGAAACGGTATAGGTACATATTGCACTGATAAAGTGTTGTGTTTACATAAATGTACGATATACACCTATAAATTATATAGGATAGGTAAACCATATACTATATGTAATAATGGCTATATAGGTAATAAACTCAAAAAGTGTCTCCTAATTATAGGAGGTAAAGATGGGATGATGGGATATTTTTTTCTCGAACGCAGTCCGTCTAAACATTTTACGATGACTTACTGATCTCGAACCCATTAACCATGGCACACCATGTGGTTTCCGTGTGAGGTGGTTCTATACGTTTTTAAATATTACAATTCTCATACAAATTAACTTTTCAAAATAAAAATGTAATTTTAAGGATTTATATTAAAATTAAAATTATGTAAATAACTATGTAAAACTCTTCGGTAACTATGTATAAGATATAATAGGTACAATCATCACTTGGCTCAGCTCGGAGCCTTTTTAGAGTGTAGTGTTATATAATTTGAATGTAACTAGAAATCATCTAAAAATATATATATTTCCAGCAGAACTCCTTCCACTTTTCCTCTAAAACCAAAAAACAAAATGAGAAAAAACGCAAAGTGTAAAATAAATCCAAAAATAAGAATGTGTCTAAAGTGCAAATAGAATAAAATGTCAGCGTATCGCGATACTGCAGATACTTGAACTAAATTATATACAACTATTTCTGTGGTTAATCGATTTACGGAATTCAAACCTTATTAATATAATATTCAGTATATTATCGAAAATATGGCCTAAGGCAACGCCTCACTGCACCACGATAACTTGAACCGTGTTTTCCGGAAAAATGTTTTCTAATGTATTGAAGCAATTCATTGGTATTAGTATTGATGGACTAATATATTTAATAGTTACTATATACCATTTACTAACAACGAGATTTAGTTGATCACAGAGCCAATTTATTTTCAGAAATAATAGTTCCCCAATCACCTGATATTATACTTAAGGGGAATGTGAAGTCATTTTATAAAGCCATAATCAGCCGTGGGTGACGTTCGAAAACCAAATACTGCTAGGTAGGTACCTACTGTAGTATATACTTAAACATTTCAAAAACCTAAATTGAGCGATCACGATTAAAACGTAGGTCTTATGATGCTTACTTAGGGAAGGATTGATAAGGTGGTGCATCGCGTTGTGGATTTTGGGCGTTTTCATACAGTTTTATATACCTGCGAATGAAAATGTATAATCATCAGCGGTATATTGGGGCGGTGCTCAAGTACCATGTTTGATTCCCGTAATTTGATTACCAGCTATTGATTAAACGTCAGCTGGTTGTTGTTTACAATATTATATACTCTGCCGAAAAATTAATAAAAAAACCTAAATAATAATATAATAAAATAATCCTCCGGGCGCGTTTACAAAACTCTTTCGAATAGCGCCGTCCTATTATTACGACACGGCTTGTATATGTAACCTCTGCACGCTTTGCGAGCTACTGCCTATAGTTTGTTGAACAGGGTACTGCATCGTGGTATGCAGATATGTGTATGAATAATATTATCAGTTAAAAGAAATTAATCTTTTACCTCGTTCAGTAAGTTCGTCAAAAAAAAAAAAACATGCCCATGGAGATGGGTAATAATAATAATTGTAGTATTATGGTAATATATTAGAACTATTTAATATACCTACCTAGTATATAAAATAGTAAATAATTATATTACATATTTGAAAATAAAAATTTAATTTTCCAACTTATAAAATAAACGGTCCCACAAAATAAAAGTTGTAAATCATCTGTATCGAACTTCTGTATAATGTCTTCCTTCATCGTTGGCCGTGATGATGCAATGTGAAGTGATTTTTTGAATAACCATTAATATGTTAAAATAAAATAATAACAATCATGTGTAATATACGACCCACCTATAATGATTTGTTTTTGCTCTGCAAATAAGTGATACTCAGCGTTATACTAGTATAATTTAAAAAATATGTGTGTACAAATATATGATCAACTATTATGTGATTTATCAAAAAAAAAAAAAAGAATTAAGTTTAAAAAGAAGCTAGTGTCGATCAAATTTGACCAAATGACAATACAATATATTATCACTGTGCGCTACGCTGGCGGGACTCGTCAGAAGGACCTATAAGGACCTATCACCTACCTACACACATAGTAATAACTAATAACGTACGATAAGACAGCCGGTGAGCTGTGTCTGCGTATATGTTGCGTGTACGCACGAGCGTCGGCAGGCAAGCGAAGCGAGGATGAGGACCGCCGGTGGTCGTCGCAGCGCGAGTGTTTACATACTCGAGAATACAATATAAAAAATGCCTTCGGCGGATACAAATGAGCTTGGCCGTGTCGTTGCATCGGTACCTACGTAATAATATTGTGCTCACACACACACACACACACACACCCATATAATATTACATACCCACACGAGAGGAGAGCGTACATTATCAATAGCGGTCTAAAGATGTTCAAATTAGCAATGAATAGAGCTCATCGTCTGCAGCAGTGCTCGATGCGCGGTAGGTATATAATATGATATATAATAGGTGCGCATACATCATCTATATATATGTTATACACCAAACTCATAATACAACGACATCCACACACCTCCTGACCACATCATATTATACTTATATGCCTCTACCTGCAGTATACGTGTAATTTACGTGACCTCCGTAATGGGCTGTTTTGGAAGCATGGAAGCCGGTGTATGGGTACGGCGATCATTAAAGGGGGCACAACGAGACCGCCCTGTCGAACGCGATATTAATCTCGTCGCGGCCCGCTCGAGCGTTCGCCGGGTGAGGTCGCGCGGTCCGAAAATATTATAAATCGCCTGCCATTGTCGCCGGGCGCGTTTTACACGCTCCTCCGGAGAATCCCGAGACGACACTGCACACGCACGTCGAGTGTGTGCGGGCCGCTATACACGTGTAGGCATAATGTATTACACAGACACCTATGTGTAGAATAACAACAATAATATATAATTTATAAACGTCCCCGTTTGTATTATATCTGCACTGCGCATATCGCATTATAACGCGTGTGTCTGTGTGTGCGCGGCTATAAAGTACCTACTTAACACCGCACAAGCGCATACGACACCCGTGTATAGGTACACGGTACGAGACTTCCCCTATACGACGTCCATGTGAGGCCGTTTATTAGTATAAAATATAATATTATTGCGTTATTAATAACGGCGTGTTCTTATACATGGTTTATTATTATTATTATT